AAAAAAAGCATTACAGATAACTCAATAGTAAAAAATAAATCCAAATTCTTATAAAAAACGACAATACAAATGAACTGGAACCTTAACCTCCATGAAAAATCCAAATCATTTAATAAATTCACATACAAAGGCTAACATGAGATAAAATCCGAATAAATAACAATATATTTATAAAGGAAGCAAAGGCTGTGCTATAGTCATCATGGACAAGATATTCTATAAAAACAAAATTCTAAAGGCACAAGGGGAGAAGAACGACTATAAATTAATAGATACCAACATAGACAAATATATTATATTAAATTATATCAATTACAAAAGTCTTCACAAAATATAAGAAAATCTTAAGAAAAAAAGAAAGCGATTTTCTAAAAAATCAGCCATTTTTACAGACTACCTAAAATTCATAAATCAAGTGAAATAAGAGCAGCTATCCAGACACAAAAATCTCAATGTATTAACATACCAGTGAACTTAAGTTTAAACCTATATTATCAGGACCAGCCTGTCCAGCTAGCAGACTCAGTAAGGTAATAGACACCATACTATAAGCCTTTGCTAAACATATTAAGAGCTACATAAACAGACGATATCTACTTTATTAGCTCCAAACCATAGAAAGGAAGAATCATGGCTCATGGCAACATTTGACAATAGCAGATTATAGAGCAACATATCCCAATGAATTAGGTAAACGGGCAATTTCATTATGGATTGAGAAGCACTCAGAAATAATACATCCCGGATTCAACAAAGAATTCATTATTAATAGTATAGACCTAATCTTGAACAATAACTCTTTTGAATTTGATAGCAAAAACTAAACTAAAATACTAAGTACTGCGATGGCAACGAAAATGGTACCAAAATATGCCACCCTAACCTTAGCTTACCTAGAGAAAAACCTTTACGAAAAGATAGAGCAAACATATGTGGAAAATATAAAAACCCACTTTACTAAATCTTGGAAGAGATACTTACATGATTGCTTCACTTCTGGAAGTCCTCATGGGACAATATTAACGAATTACACAATTTACTCGAAACCTACATGCGAAGATTAAATTTACGCAAGAACATAACTTTCAACAAACTGCTATTCTTAGGTATTCTCATCAAAAATAGAAATAACTATATTATTACAAATACCTACCTTAAACCTAGTCACCCAAACAATATCTTCATTTTAAGAGCCATCATCAAAAAAACTGTCTAAAATTCATCCTCTATTCCCTAGCACATAGGATTTGCATTATAGTGGCCGACAAACGCCCCTGAAAAACCCGCCTGGAAGAATTACGTAAAACTCTCAAAAAATGAGGATATCCTACACCATTAATAAAGAAAAGATTTGAACTAGCAGAAAAATACCTCAAGAAAGCAAACGGAACGCAACAACGAACAAATTCTAGCATACATCTCAACATACAAAAAGAACAATCTAGAACTAACAACTACAGAAATAATAAGAAACTTAAATACTTAACAAGAACGATAAAATGAAAGATATACTAAAACAGCTAAAATAATTAAAAGCAAACGCTAATGAAAAAACCTAAAACACATATTAACCTCATCCAAATTTAGTCAACACAAAATAAAAGAGGTCAGAAAATGCAACACAAAAAGATATACAGGTTTTGTGATGTAATTATAGAAGGGAACTCCTATACTTTTGAAAATCCCGCAACAAAATTCACAATAAAGACAAACTTAAACTGTAACTCCAAAAATTTAGTTAGCTTGTGTCAATAAAACAATTACGAATGAGGAGTGAGCTCGATCCTCACTCGGTGCCCCATACTTTTGGCCTTGTGCCACATCTAAGCTACGCTTGGAAAATCACTATATTTCATCGTCTGCCAATTCTCGTACGACGTCGCTGGTTGGTTAATATATATGAATTCAAAGATTCAAATATCTGGAGTCTTTCAATATACAAAAAAAAATGAGATTTTAGTGACAGTACTTAAATCTGTCAGCATTTTTCTACAATTCTGAAACGGGGTTCCACACACACACACACACACACACACACACACACACACACACACACACACACACACACACACACACACACACACATATATATATATATTAGTTTTTTTAAAAATATGATCCCATCGCTACATAAGAGTTCCCATGTTTCAAAAACAGAAGCTAGAAACTTCAATTTAATTATAGAAATTAAATTAAATTGAAGTACCTAGTTCTTTTTTATCCTAAAGCGAATCTTGGAATAACTAATTTTGAAATTTATGGAGTTTTATAAACATATACCTTCGTAATATTAATTTCTATGGAAACGGAGAAAACCAATCATTTTAATAAGGGGTGGTTGGTAGGATTTACATTTTCACTGACAACTATTGTATCAACATATTAGTTACTTTCGAAAATAGGTTAAGTCAATGTAGGGTCGGGGTGCTTATTTTCAAATAGAATGATGAGTGAGTGGTGAGGATCAATAATCACCAATGAAACAGATTCTGAATAAAAGGTGTGGAACTGTTGGTGACTCTCCCCGGCTTCTCTGTTTACTTCTTGCATCCGCTGATGAACGACACAGGCTTGTCCAAAAATTCAATTATTATTTATTTAAAAATATGATCCCAACGCTACATAAGAGTTCTCATGTTTCAAAACAAGAGCCGAAAACTTCAATATAATTATTTGAATTAAATTGAATTAAAGTACCAAGCTCTTAAAGTACCAAGCTCTGTTTCATCTTCAAGCGAAATTTTTTTGGGAATAACTTCTTCCTGAAATTTACGCGTTTTATAAGCATATTCATTATTGAAATTAAGATTACTATGGTAACGGCTAGAGCAATTGTTTAAAGAAAAGGGGCGTAATGGTTAATAATTAGTACCAATATCTCAGTTACATTCACAGGCGTCAAGTCAGGGTAAGGTTGGGGTGTCTAAATCTAAAGCGGAAGATGACATCGTCTAGTCTGGTTAAGTGTCTATGGAGATTTATTTATTTATTTTTTATTTTATTTTATTTTATTTTTTCTGAAAGGGTTTTGTGTATATAAAAAAAACTGTCGTAAGTCGCTAACATTTGTTTTTTTTTTAATTTTTTTTGACGACTTCATAAAGGGTTATCTTTTTTTTTGTAGGGCATTTAAACTATTTATTTAGACTATGGAATTTAAAAATTATTTAATTAATATAAATTATTTTATATATATATATATATAAATTATTTTATTAATATAAATTATTTTATATATATATATATATATATAAATTATTTTATTAATATAAATTATTTTATATATATATATATATATATATATATATATATATATTAACAAATCCACCTATATCAGCGCATAACCTGCATTTAGCTAAGTTTCATCATTTATGTAACATCAAATTCCTGTCTTTTTGTTTCACATTTCTTTTTATCTTTTACCATCCCTTTTTTCTTGTTCTGTCACCAGTTACACAAAATATTTCATAGTTTACTCGCCATTTTTCCTTGCTTCATATATGTCCTGTGAGTGTTAAATTTTCAACGTCTTCTTTTCTCGTTATGTGTGCCTGAATATCCAACTGTCTTTTTGTGAGCATAAGTTTCTTTTAGTCCCTCGACGATCACATATTCTACCCATGCCTTTATTAGTGTTCGTCAGTAGAACCACGTCTCTGTCTCTTCAAGATTCTTCTATCACCTATGAAGAGATTTTGCCCAGTAGTCATCGTCCTATTAGAAGATTTATTTATTAATACATTTAATATTTATTAGTACATTTGATATTTATTAGTACATTTATTAGAAGATTAGTCATTTCGCAGTGGTTCTATGTTCCTAACAACATTTTCTGAATACTTTAATTAGTTTCTGGAAGGCATTTTTCGCTATTCCTATGCACCTTCGGATTTCGGTGTCATATTTTCCGCCATATTTTACTGCAACACAAATATTGTTAAATTTCTGTACCTGCTTGTTTTTGACGACCCTAATATATCACTCACACCTTAGATTGCATCTTTTACTGGAAACCATGTATTCTGTCGTCTAACCAGTTAACAGTTAGTCCTTTCTTCTTGCTTTCCCTTACTAACGTCTCTTAACTTTCATCGGAATCTGCCATCAACACAGAAAGTAGCTCATTCGATTATTTACTCCTGTGTATCTTGTCTTTAGCATATCTTATGAGTGTTTAATTTTCCACGTCCCCTGTCCTCATTATGTGTCTCAGAAATTTCATTTGTCTCATTCTGTAAGTATAAATTTTCTTGTAGTTTTTATTTTCCTTAAAACTTCCTCATTACTCACATGTTCTGTCCATGGTATTCTCAGTAGAACCTCATTCCTGTCATTTCAAAACACTTCATCTATGAAGAAAATTGTCCCGTATCTGCTACCATATAATAGATTAGATATTATATATCAGTTCAACACGCTTTTCTTTGCTTGTAACGACATTTTCTGAACTTAATACTTTACTTAGTTTCTAGAAGACATCTTTGCTATTCCTATGCGCTTTCGGATTTCGGTGTCATATTTTCCGTCATCTTTAGGCTGCTTCGTTTGAATTAGGATTTGTGGTTCCCTAGTTGTCAGTTCTAATATTATGTTTACGTAAAAGTGGTAACGTAAGCATGTGGCAGAAGTACCTGGCGTATATATATATTACAATTAATACTTAGTCTTTTCTTCTTGCTTTCCTTTGCTTCTTTTTATAGACGTTCTTCCATTTTTCTTTCTGAGTACGACACAGTCTCAACGAGGTATCTCATGATGTTAATATTATGTCCGCAGATTATAAATCCTGGTACTATTTCGAGTTCTTTCCGGATCATCTTGATATAAATATAAAATAAATCCTGTTTGAAAAGGTAGCCTTTCAGTTATTTCTATTTCTCTTCCCTGAATCCATTCTTTGTTTACATTCATGTTAGGTGTTATCAATGAAGATTATAAATTGTTCAAATATCTTTCCCATAAGTTAATCTGATCTATTCTATCAAGCATATATATATGGCTTACGGCCATATCACTTTGAAACACCGATGCTCGTACAATGATAGTAGTTAAGGAACGCCAAGCATGGTCAGTACTTAGATGGGTGACCACTTGGGAACACCAGGTGCTGTAAGCTTGGATGTTCGGGTGATGTAATCAATTATTGAATCAAGCTTAGAGCACCTGGTGTTCCCAAGTGGTCACCCATCTAAATATTGATCATGCTTGGAATTGGAAATTGGGGACCGAAGAATCGAGTTCCAATTCCAGTTAGTTTCATTATATTCACTTACACGCAAATATCCTTCGAAAAGGCATGAATCCACCACTTATTCCCCCAACTATGGGTTAATTAGTAGGATTTGTATCTGCAAATCATTATTATCTTAAAAACAATCTAAAATATTTTCTGTCTTTAAATAACCCATAAAAGGTTGATAAACCGTAAAAAACAAATCATTTAAGTCAAGTATATATATTATTATTTCAAGTGTTATACCCCCATCACCGTAATGTAGCTTCCCTGTGCTGTTTCTATAAATATTTCGATGCCAATTGTTCTGATGAACTTTCCTCTTTGGTACCTCGACTGGATACATTTAAACTGCTAGATTTCATAATTTCACTGGATGCTACCGTAAGTTCAATTCCAAGAGTTTCTTGTCCGCACTTCTTACCTGTGGAACTTTCGTCCAGCCTCTCATTTTCCTATCAACTACGATCTTCAAAAGTTTTAATACAATGTCAGTCGCTATCTTCTGTCTCCTTGTTCTTTGAATTGTCATTTCTCATCTCTTTCAGTCTCAGTTGTGGCATTACCAAGAAGTGATTAAAAAAGTAGATCTTTTTTCTATGATTTTTGGCTAGTCTATGAAACAAGCTTCTCTGCACGCACTCATATTTTTATGATAATAAAAATAGCATTTCTTGTTCCAGTGACTTGTACGGTGTCACATTTTTCATATCCTTTTTCTTCTCTATTCCTGTATATGCTTTATTCATTAGAATTCTAATAATAAGCTTATGCCACTTATTAAGCTGACACATTAACATTATTGATCCTAAAATAGTCCAACTGTGACAACGTCTCTGTTACAATCTAGACTTGCTACTTTGTTTCTTTTCATTCTGGCCAATGCCACTGCTTGTGTTTCCATGATTTTATGCATTGTAAGTTTCGCTCCTCTATTGTCAGGGAAGAGGTCTCCGATATATTCACCGATATATACTGTAGTATAATTTCCTTATGAATGTTACTTCTTATGTAACCTGTTGAAGAGAACTGTGTTGTTTAGTGATGTGTACTATCTTCATTCATTCACATTATGTGAATATGTGAATCAAAATATTTGATCGTGTCATCCATGACCCTCTTTAGTCACGCAACATTCTTTTATATACATATTTACACTGCCTATATTTTTATTTCAATATTCTCAAAAGTTTGCTCTATTGAAAATTTTGAATTATATTTACGCTTATAAAAGAGTTAAATTTTTGTCATTAACTATAATGATAGTTAATTATTCTTCTGGTGTAAAAATATTTGGCATTAAATTGGTGGGAAATTAAGTTCAGCTTTAAGTTATTACCAAAGCTCCAATGTACTTGTCTCACCCGGTGTTTAGGCCAGCATATTTTTCTATTTTCCTTTTGCCGGCAGCAAGACTTCAGATCAAGAGATTGAAGGTTTTCAGGGGCGTGGAACCACCTTTTAATTGCTATTCTTTCCAGGTCCACCCTGACTCGGGATAGTAGCATCTGTTAGGGCCCCATCTATGGGTAAATATTTAAACACTATGAAAGTATAAAAATACATTTTTATAGTAAAAATATCAGCAATATATTTTTATGCAAAAAAGTAAAAATTAGCAACAATATCTATTGATAGTAAAATAAGCAAGAATCTATTTCTAAAGCAACGTGACCAACAAAACATTGTATCTGAAGTTCAAATTGCGTTCAAATATATTTAATTGAAATCATAAAATCGTGCACTATTTATATCATTCGGACTATTATCCTTATCTTTGTCGCCATATTTATTACAACGTTTCGGCCTTTCAGTATCTTTCTATATTTCTGAGATGAGGTATTATGTACATTATTCACATAATTCGGACTATTATCCTTATCTTTGTCGCCATATTTATTACAACGTTTCGGCCCTTCAGTATCTGTCTATATTTCTGAGATGAGGTATTATGTACATTATTCACATAATTCGGACTATTGTCCTTATCTTTGTCGCCATATTTATCACAACGTTTCAGCCTTTCAGTATCTTTCTATATTTCTGAGATGAGGTATTATGTACACTATTTACATTATTCGGACTATTGTCCTCATCTTTGTCACCATATTTATTACAACTTTTCGGCCTTTCAGTATCTGTCTATATTTCTGAGATGAGGTATTATGTACACTATTTACATTATTCGGACTATTGTCCTTATTTTTATCGCCATATTTATTACAATGTTTCGGCCATTGTTCGCACCGGCCTTCTTCAAGTGGTTGGAATGTCGAACTGAACCCTTTATTTTGGTCACTGAGGTAGACTGTTCTAGTTCCACGTGCCATGTCTAATGTACATAATACCTAATCTCAGAAATATAGACAAATACATAAAATTGTGTTCGAAATATTTAGATGTCAGCATTAAATAACCCATAGAGGTGTTGATAGGCAACTAAACAAAATCAACCAAGAAAATAACAGGAAAGAACTTTTTCATGACATTACGCAATATATCCGACAATTTCTTAAATCAAACTGTATTCCAAAGTATAACTTCAACAAAACTAAAGCATAAAACACATCACTGACTCTAATAATCATGTACACGTAAACATGCATATGCACAAAAGCTGAGTATTATCTGCCATTTATTCAGTTGTGACGGCAGAATAACGTGTCGTATTTTGATTAGTTCAAAATTCGCAAGAAAATGAAATTTCAGCTTTAAATGACCCATGTGGAGTTGATATACCGTTAAACAAATCAATCAATCAGCTTTTCACAAAAAGCAGAAAAAAAGGGAAACCGTAGAGATTAAATTACTAAGGGTTTTGTCAAACTCTTTAAATTTATCGATTTTTTAAAAATAAAATTTCTAAAATGATTATCGGACGATTCACGATCTAAGATTATAGACGAAATGTCTCTTCTGTAGAAAAGTAAAATTATTGCAAAGTGCAATTCTAAGATGCAAAGAAGCCTCGAGGCAAAAATAAATTTTCTATTTTCAGAAAGGTTTTAAGGTAAAATAACATCCATTCCTAATTTTATTTTACTGTAGGCGAAAAGAACTTGCTTTTAATTTTATATTTCAGAATATGAATTAATAACATTAAAATGTGATTCACGCCATGTAGTTATGAGTAACAAGTTTGAATAGCAAACTAAGTTCCTGGTAAAAAAAAAGTAGTTATATTTTCACTCATTGCCTTAAGTCTTGTGTTAGTCTCGTCTTTACGTATAAGAAGCTCTTACTGTAATGTAATTCTTAATAAGCTTGCGTAATACATCAGGACTATTGTAAAATTTCGTATTATCTTTGGCTGTCGAAAAGTTATAAGCTTTTGCTAAGCAAATCCAAGAGAATCGAGTAGCCTTTTCGTGAGACTGGCTTTTCAAATTAATACAAATCCCTAGTTCGATCTTCACCGAGTGACCACAACATAGATTTGTTTCAAACGTAACTAAGCTAAATAAATAATAGAATCTTCTTGAGAAGGAATGGTAAATAAGAAAGCTTTATAAATCCATACTATTATCTATTTGATCCCTATTTCCTCGGCATTGCGTAAAGCTAAGGTATCTCTCTATCAATCTATTTCTTTCAGCCTGTTCATATCTATCTATTTCAGTCTGTTCATATCTATCTATCTATCTATCTATCTATCTATCTATCTATCTATCTATCTATCTATTTCAGTCTGTTCATATCTATCTATCTATCTATCTATTTCTGTCTGTCTCTCTTTCTCAGCCTGTTCATATCTATCTATCTATCTATCTATCTATCTATCTATCTATCTATCTATCTATCTATGTCTGTCTGTCTCTCTATCTCAGTCTGTTCATATCTATCTATCTATCTATCTATCTATCTATCTATCTATCTATCTCTTTCTGTCTGATTATTATCTATCTAACGATCGATCTATCGTTCTATCTATTTTAGACTATTCACTATCTATCAGTCTGTTCATTATCTATCTATCTATTATATCTATCTATCGATCTATCTCTTTTAGTCTGTACATCTATCTTTCTCAGTCTATTCATGTCTGTCTGCCTATCTATCTATCTATCTCTTTCTGTCTGATTATTATCTAACGATCGATCTATCTATTTCAGACTGTTCTCATTATCTATCTATCTATCTATCTATCTATCTATCTATCTATCTATCTATCTATCTATTTCTTTCAGTCTGTTAATATCTATTTCTCACAAGGCGTTTATGTCTATCTAACTTTATAATAAAATATACTCTTTTAATTCTTTTTCATATTTCTCTTTTCTTAATAACTTTTATCGGCGTTTATCTCACCATCTTTCATTAATTTTCTATTCCTTGTTCTTTTCCTTCTCCCTTCACCCCACTCCAACCATCTTTCACTCTTATTCAATTTCTATACCCTAGACTTTTCGTTATTGCTTTTTTTCCAGCACAAAACGTTTTACAGATTACCAATAAATGAAATAGTCTGTAATAAAAAGGAGTGAGAAAAAATCAATTAGTGTTTAAAAGTGTGTATGTAATAAACGGATTGATCGTAACCTTTGAGTTGTCGTAAAATTCAGTCTCCTATTAGGCATTTTCTATTCAGAATCTCAATGTTCTTTCCTATTTTATTTTTTATTATGCGTTAATATCATGTGAGCCACGTCATATTGTTATGAGTAACATGTCTGAATAGAAAACTAAAACTATGCTAATAACGTTATATTTTCATTCAGCGCCCAAAATCTTATGCCAGAATTAGAAGATATCGTAAACTAATTCTTAACAAGTCTGCATAATAGAGACAAGATCTATCTCTGTAAAATTTCGTGTCATCTTTAGCTGCCTCAAAATTATCGCCTTGTATTAAGTTACCCCATGACTACATACCTCTACTATGAATACAACTAAGGGGTTCGAACTAAGACTTGCAAAGCTCCTCGTTCATCCGGGAAATTTCAGTTTCGCTTTGCAGTAGTTCGTTGCTTTTTTGGCTTAAAAAAATCAAATAATTTTTTGCTTTTATATTTGGAATAACTTTCGTTTATTTAATTGAATTACGTTTCAGATTTATTTATTTTATTTCCTTTAGACTAACTGTATTATTTTATGTTTATTACAAAAACAAACTTTATTTGTGCGAAATTCATTAAAATTTGTAACTTAGTCTTTGTCATTTGCATGTGTAACATTTTTCAATTAAAAAATAATTTAATGTTCTTCTATATGAAAGCTTTCTTCATAAAAATAAACAAGAATTATAAACTTTAATTTCTTGCGTAATCTGTATTTCTGATTCTGACAGCTAAAGAAAGTATTTTTAATCTTTACTACATTTCTGCTACCATAATATAACATTTTACACCGTAGAATTAAAGAAAATAATTTATTGGTCTCGACTAGGCATGAGACTCTAACCGAAAAATGCGTAATTTTACACTATTTAAAGAAATAATTTATTAATCTAATCATTCTGGTGTTTCTTCATCAAATGGTACAAATATTTCTCAACAGAATTAATGTTGATAATGTTTTATTATGTTTCATTTTAACAGAGGCTTTCCTTCCGAAGACTTTTTGCTTCAATCCTACTTTTACACTGTGAACGTTATTTAAAAGTATCATTCTTTATCACGGAAAGTTCATTTCATATTTTTCTCTATTGTATAACAATAACTGTTTACATTTTATGAGTCATTCGTGTTTTCTTTCTGAATGTTGTTTAAAAATATTACCATTAAAAACCTCAAATATTTTTTATACCAAAAGATTAATGCCAAAGTCATTTATTAAGAATGTTGTTTAAATTTTATTTTTTCTCCTAAAACTTCTGAAATTCCAGTTTTGACCTTTAGTTGCACCATAATTAGGCCTGTAGTCTAGAACGTAATGAACTAATCTAAATGAATCAAGTCGACGTATCGCGAAGTTAGCTTTTCAGATGATTACTGTCACAAGTTCGATCCTCATTGTGTGAGCTATAAATGTAGCCTTGTGCTAAACGTAGCTACGCTTACTAAATAAAAGTAACGGCTTCTTGCGAATCAATGGTTAATAAGATAACATTATTGACCATTTGTTCGTGGGTGCCTCGTATGCATGGGTATGAGACTCACATTCTAAAGTTATCGTTAATAAGTCATTTTCGCCGACTATTAAAAGTGTAGAAAATTTGATCCTCACTAGGTGATCCTCAGTTAGAATTGGACGGGGCTAAGTTCAGCTTAGTAAATCTCATCTGTATTAAATCATTTGAATCTTTTTACAATAAGCAGCAATTCTATTTGCAATACCGCGAAATATTTGAGTCCGAACGCTTAAAAACCTCTTAGGCGGTTTTACACGTGTGTAACTTGAAATAGCAATGTAATGGAAAAGATGAAATGAAGAGAATGGAAAGGAGAACATGGAATGGAGAGCATGGAATTAAGAGCATGGAATTAAGAGCATGGAATGGAGAGCATGGAATGAAGAGCATGGAAAGGAGAGCATGGAATGAAGGGCATGGAATGGAGAGCATGGAATGGAGAGCATGGAATAAAGAGCATGGAATGAAGGGCATGGAATGGAGAGATGGAATGAAGAGCATGGAAAGGAGAGCATGGAATGGAGAGCATAATTCCAAACTTCTACGTCAGTTATTTATAACGTTCTTGTTTTTTTCATGGAAGCACTAGAAAAATTCTTAGATGGTAGAAGAAATTTATGCTCTCATTGGAAGCAAGGAATCGATGTTTTTCAACTCACAAAAACTGTTAAATCGGAAATTGCGAAAAAAGAAGAAGGCGTATTTAGAAAAGAGGAAACAAATATAATTCGCACTCTGTGACAGTGGCACATCTTCTGCAATGCAGATGGTATGGATTAAAATAACGTCTGATATTTGATTAAAGGAAAAGAATCTATCGTTGCTTTTAGTAAAAACTGTCACTTATTTCATTAAGATTACTAAAATGATCTAAATTTAATCGAATAAAAGTTAAATTGTAAGCTGAGTGATTTCGTTTCTCATTGAAGTGTAGGCTCGTCTATCGCAGTCATGTATGCTCAGGTATGACTTTATGAGAAGGACGTCGTTACGATTATTAAAGAATTTATTATAAACGTGTTTTATCTCTATATCATAGATCACTGTTTAATCACTAGACCAATCCCGGTAAGACATTCAAAGAATCAGATTTTCGTTTTAGATTTGAAAAAATATGAAATAATTCTAATCAAAAAAAAAAAAAAAAAAATGAAACAATTCTAATGTTTCCTCGATATGCAAACAAGCTCGTTATCGAGATGAAAGCATGGGGAGGCCATAACAAATTTCATCCTTGTGAACAAAACTTTTAAATAAGACATCGATAAAAAAACTATCCCGCATTAACATTTTTTATTCTCAACTAACATCTTCTTCTATCAACTCCCGTTATCTTCAAAGTATATACAGCGTCTTTCTATGACTTGATGTCACGTTTCAGTTGAATTTCTTTGCACTCTATTAGATACATGCAAATATTTAAGGTATTTCTCATATAAACTATTTTATTTATATCAATTCATAGCAATAGTTGCTCAGACTTCAACTGATGACTTCTGTCTTTCTATAAGATATCGTTGTCGTCGTTAGCATCCGTCCATCTTGAGAGGCGATGAAGTAGCGCAGTGCGGGCGGTGTATATGGAGAACTAGGGCTGCCCAGACGTCTAGCCCTCTCCCTCTCGGCCTTGCTGGCAGAGTCCAAAGGAGAGGATAAACCAATACAGTTTGGTACCAGCGCGGCTGCAAGAGTTGCCGGAAGGTAGCAGAAAGTGCCGTCCATCCGCCTTAGGGGCTCCACTCCGGGTATGAAATCAGAGTTGTCATTCTCTTAGACTAGTTGCTATCCAAGGCTATAGAACCTGTCTGTCCTGCTATTTACCCATAGCTGGAGGGAGAAGAAGAGGATTCACACCTTTTACAAGGGTATTAGCACGTTAGTGAATGGATTCGACTGGAATTCGAACTCGGCTCTCCGATTCCTTAATCGAAGCCGCCCATTAATCCACTATATATATATATATATATATATATATATATATATATTGTAGAATATATACATATATATATATGTTACAGAATATATACACATACACACATATATATATAAATATATATATATATCTTATAGAATATATATACACACACAAATATATATATATATTACAGAATATATACACACACATATAAATATATATATATATATATATATATATATATATATTATATACAATACACATACATAAATATATATATATATATATATATATATATATATATATATATATATATATATATATATATATATTACAAAATATTGAAACATATCTCGAATTCATTTTAAAACCGGACGCGCTTTTTATAAATGAATATACAATTGATATAAGGTGGTATATATATATATATATATATATATATATATATATATATACCTTAGATCAATTATGTATTCATTATAAAAAAGCGATATCCGGTTTTAGTCCATGAATTCGAGATATGTTTCAATACTTTGCAACTTTTAGAACCCTTGACAGAACAAAGGTGTAAAGAATACGCAGCATGTTGTAGAACAACCGATGCCATGAAAACAACTCATTGCAACGCATTTGTATGACTCTCTCTGAGAAATCACGTTAGTCTGTCAATATTTAAAGGATCTCTGAGTCGTAATGTAGTTGCATAGCGGACTATTTCTTAGTGTATTGAGATCGATTCTCACTGAGTGAACCATTTACAGAAACGTATGCCAAAACAGGAATCGTTTCCTGTTCCATCACCCGAAGCAGATTATCTGCCACAGAGGCTAGTACCAAACCTTACCTATACTGTTTTTGTTTTTGTTTTCCATATTTATAACTATGATAAATTTTAATTTATAAATTAGGTACACTAGAATATAATTAACAAAAGTTAAAATAAATAATATAAATTATACTAGTACGGGGGAATGGAAGGGAGATCTGTTTCATTTTTTATTATTATAAATTTTCGCAACGATTTTATACCTTTCTCGTTTCCAATTAAAGGAAATTCTTTCCAGTTTATCAAGACTGGATCACTGCTTTTGCGGTCTGGGACTTTTCTAATTAATTCATTTGTGAGGATTGAACGGTAAATAGATAGATAGATAGATAGATAGATAGACAGACAGATAGATAGATAGATAGATAGATAGATAGATAGATA